CTGAGCACCACAAAAATCACGACCTCGATAAATTTTGGGCCGGTCTAGTACACATTATATTTTAAAAATTTTGAGCAGCATGCTTGGGAAGCTGGAACTTTACATACACTTTGACTGCTAAGAATCAACAAGGTCCAGAGATGACCTTAGCGCACCCGAGTATTTGTGTTGTTTTTTTGCTTTTTTCTTCGTTATACTTTACCTTTTTGACCAAAAAAAACTTTGTATCAATATTTTGTGTAACATAACAAAGAACAGTTTTTGAAAAACCACATTTATATTAGTAAAATATAAAGAAAAAATCCCCAAAAGTCGAAATTTCCAATGCGCGTAATTACTAAGTGCATATGACCACACAATGCGAATACGGGGGGCAGAAAATGTAAGCTCTTCTTCGTTATGTTACACAAAATATTATTCAAAAAATAATTTTGGCCAAAAAGCTGAAGTAGAACGAAAAGTGGCTGAGCTGGAAGTGAATCTTGTGGAGCAGGTGGATCCGACCTGGTCCAATATGTTCTGGAAGTAAAGTCTTCCAGTACTTATTCCCTACGGGGAATGCTAAATCGCATTTTTTTTGCCGAATTCCGCTTGGAACACCCTCAAATATGAGTTGGCATATCCGGAAGAGAATTTGAACTTTGTACAACAACGCAACGCATGAACAATATCGAATAAATTTAGTTGATATTTTTAATTTATTTGAATAAATCTATGTGCAGACATTCCCTGCTTAGTGGAATTGAAATTTAATTAATTGACTATATGAAAGAAAAGAATATATCGAATGAAATTGAGCGGAATCCAAAAATTGTGAATAAGAATAACTCTGGTGTCTGAAGATGAAAAACAATATATCGTTTTCAATATGATCTAAAGTGGAAAAATCATCTTGAAAATTCACACAGAAGAAATGCAGTTTGACCAGTGCCAAATAAATGAATGCAATGGATGGCAAATTTAAATCATTCGAATTTAGTTTAATAATATCAAAATATCTGAGATTTTATGTGTTCAGAGCTTTTATTAGTCTCTCATTGTTTTTATTAGTATAATTATCATCATTAATAATACAGACTTCATTTTTAACTCTATGTTTTTATTCATCTACCTCGATATGAGTTTAATATTTTGTATATAATAATCTGTCGTAATTATTATTTAGAAAAGTAAATCAAGTGTACGTGTAATTTAGTCTTATTATTTAGTTTGTGTATATTTGTGTGTTTTCTTCATTTCATTTTGTTCAGTGTTCAATTTCAAGTGAGAAATATTCACATACAAGTTATTTACAAGAGGATTTTGACATAGTTTTCCCAATGTTTTATAAATCTTGTTCTTATTTTTATTCCATTTTTCGATTAGATCCAAATCCACAAACAATGATTGTTATCTGACATAAAATTTTGAGAAGTGTTATTGACGTCCATTTTATATCGATGATTTCAATTATTTTGTTGTGTGACAGAAGTAGATGCTGGTAAAATCTTGAAGTCAACTCTTCAAATAAGTCGATGCAGATCGATATTATTGTGTGTTTTTTGTTTGATGCAATGATCGATTTACGTGTAAAACCTAGGTGTTAATTACATAGATCCAAAATTTTCCAGTCTGTATAAGTGCCGTAAACTTTTGTCGAATTTTCGATTTTTTTTTTATCACAGATTACGAATTGATGACATTCATTAGATCTCTTGTTCTAATCATGTATTTTATTCGTATTTCGATTTCCTACAAAGATGTTTAATTTGTTCATCACATTGCAGAGTATCGTATATAACGAAACTATGCTCCATGTTACCGTGTGCGAAATACTTCAGACCAATATATTGTTCTGTTGAAAATGAAATCGATCAAATTGGCGCGCCGTAAATACTCTTTTAATCAGAAAATTGCCTTAAAAGTTACGCACAATTCAAAACAGTTCTGATGTTTGAATTTCATTCGGTTTTTTCCTCTCCACAATACGTCCTCAATATTTTAAAACTTCAAACAAAATGGAAATGGAAAGGGAAATGAAATGTCACATAATCGAAGAACAAATAATACAAATAAAAATGAAAATTTTCTACTGACGTAGTATTGTAGTTGCTTGCACATGCCCGTAAATAAATTGTATTTTCAAACGATTATATTTAAATTGAATTGGGTGAATTGGGTGATTTGAAAACCAACAAATACACTTTTTGCTATGGATATTTTTTGTGTTCATCTACATAGAAAAACTTGTTTGTTTTCGATACGTTACAATTGAAATATGGATGAATGGAAGGTGAAAGAAAATTGGTGCGCATATCGAAATTTGTATATGTGTTACAATCTGAAGTTTGCTTAATAATGCGGATGTTTTCTAAATAATTTGTTATTTATTGACAAATTACAAAAAAAATCAATGGAAACTCGTTGATTTTTTTTTTGAATAGCTCAAATATGTGCTATGTCATTTTATTTGATTTTGTCATTTGAAAACAAAGGGCCTCCCACGTAAATGCACTAATCATTTGTTAAATTACATCGTTTCATTTGTCACATTTAACATATAAATACTTAACAAAATATGCTGTAGCTTCAATTTGATAGTTGGTGATATAATAAATTTTGCACTCAAATTACTGCATCGTAGTTTTCAGTGAACTGTTTTTCCGTTAGTGGAATAGGTTTCTGCTCAATTTAATAACATCAGATAGCTGCATGATCATTAAAAAAAAGATATTGAAGTTTATACATGCTTGCATTGCTGATGGGCCTTCCATTTATGTTATCTATCTTTTAATACTATGCATTTCTCAAATTTATTCAGCCGGTTCAACAAAATCGTATACAAAAAGTGGACTTGAATTGAATTATTTTATGGTTTACTTCTGATAATGTTGAGTCTGTCATCTAATATAGGTTTTAATGTGACTGTTGCTTACCCGATTGCGAACCAAATTATACAGAAAACGGTATGTTAATTTACACAGCTTTCTATGTGGAATAATTCGCTCCGTAAGATTTAAGGGTGTTGTTTTCGGTTCAAATTTCAATTACTATTATTTGAGCATATTTTCTATTTACAGTGTATCTTTTTCCGTTTTTCTCTCTTTTACACTTTCATGGTTTTTTTTTCGCAAATAACATGCATTCTTTCACCAAAATATTCATAATCAAATCAAATAATTATTCATTCAATATTTGCGTTGACATTGAAACCAATGAACAAGAGAAATAAGTTCTAATCAGCTGGTATTAAAATTATAAGATGATGTGTTTAGATTGCAGTTAGAATCTATAAGCCAAATCGTATTCGTGATCATATATTTTTATCCTCAACTATTTTTCTCTCTCATTATATTGAAGCATATTTATGGAGTAGCACACATCACTGAATTGATCTGCGTAGATTACAATGTTCACACAAACTTAAACTGATAGTATTGTTGTTGTTGTTGTTGTTTTTTACGTTTAGGCTCGAAACGCACACGACGTATTTACCCGCAAAACTCGTTGTTCCGATTTAAAACGTTCCCTATAAAAGAGATAAGAATGGAAAAAGAATTAATTTTCTTCGTTGTATTATAATTGAATTAGTTTTTTTTATAAAAGACGATGTTGGGGGCACATTTAGTTCGAATAGAAGTTTTGAACGATTGCGTATAATACATTTACCGCTGATTATTTCTTTACTCTTCGAAGTGTCTCTACTTATACTTACTAGATGCACTTTCTTTAGAAAAAAATATAATAACCAAATTATTTATGGGTTCCGAGACTGATTTGAAGTGTTTACGCATAATTTCTCTACTGGAAGTTGAAGTGAATCGATTATTTTTAATTATATGATAACCAAAAACTATTATATAAAAACATAAGGAAGACGGAGTGAAAATCGGTAAATTACATGACATATTTGTTCAGCTCTTTGAAATCAAGAGAAGCAAATGGCAAAATATACCCACGCATATTTTAAACATGTACCATGTATTAATCTTTATGTCAATTTATCTTTAACCTCGCTTGTTGTAGCATACCATACATTTATTTATTTCAATAGTTTATTTTGTATATTCACATTGAGAAGATCAAGAACAGGTACAAGTAGTCGTTTATATTATTTACGCTACTATTGCATCCATTCGGTATGGGTCCTCTGAATTGAAAATTGCTGATAATTTTATTTGCTTCAGCTTGGTTTCTTTATTTCTTCAATAAATTTGAAGAGACTAAAATCAGACGTAGAGTATTGCAATACATGTACAATGGGTGTATGCTGAGTTTCAGAATTTAAATTTCGATTTTCGAACATGCTAACTCCGTATTGTTTATACGTTGCACAAATAAAAAATGACGCGCTGTTACAAATTGATTTTTTTTTGTAGTCCTGAGGTTCTGTATCTTGTTTATTTTGTTTCGTATGATTCAATTTTATGAATGAACGCTGATCCTTTGTTTTTTTTTCTTCAGGTTTTATCACAACCTACAATCAATGATCTCGTGGTCATATGTACTCGGACTGTGCAAATAGCTGGAGCCCGTATTCAGAAACACGCGAACAGACAATTGTGAAAAATGACCAAATGAACGAAAACCAAGAAATGTTAGCGTCCGAAGGCGACGGTGGAACGACACATAAAAACAAAAATTGCGTTGAACGAAAAGGCATGGACCAAAAACAGCAGCAGCAGCGGATAAAGTCTCTTAAACAGAGATATTATTAATAGTCTTTATCTGTAAAATTAATTTGATTTTTAAGCGGTGTCAAAAAAACACGGTCAGGAAAGAACGAACGTATCGTTCTTTTTTATTTCAAAAAAGAAGTAAGAAGATAGAATGAAATTCGTATGGGATGAGATCATGTTTTTAGTATTTTTGTGTGGTCAACACGAAGAAAGAAATGGTCGTAAAGAGAGAGAGGGAGAGAAAGACCAATATATGCGTGGTACGTTAACCGCAATCTTTGAAAGAACACAAACATTAATGATTTTGCTATCGGCACCTAAAACGACATTGATGGACGAGTTGAGTGAGATTTTAATCTATCATCGATTTTATACCTCGTTTTTTCGTCGCATTTGACGTTTCCTCTCATTAATTTTATTTTATGTTTTCCAACGATACATGTCGAAGCAAGGTATAACAGCAAATTTTATCAGAGATATCGATAAAATAGAAAAGATTCATGATGTAAGATAAAACAAGAATAGCTACGACAACCCGATATGATGGTTCTGTGCGATGCGATGCTTTGACGGACAATATCAAACGAACTGATTATTTTAGTTCATTTGTTTTGTCTTTTGGAAATTCACTTTCAGCATTTATTTACAAATTTAACAGATTTCCTTCAACAAATGAAAGTTATCCATTGCTTTGAATTCCAACTTTTATGTTCCATTCAATTTTTTGAGATCTATGCAATAATATACTCAATTTGTTCGAAATCATACACACTATTTCATTACACATTTCATTCGTCTGAGAAATTTCACACATTGATGTGAGAAAATGACAGGGGAAATAATAAATGATACGGTTGAAATGGAAGCAGATAAATATTTGACTGTCTATTGAACGTAAAAGAATGGAACGATATATTGAAAGATGATCCGTTCACTATACGCATACGAGATTCAGCATGCGTGTATGCGAATGATGTTACGCTTGCAAACGCTAAATGAATCCGAAAAGTGTACATCCTCCGTAGAAGAACATTTTGAAAGCTGTGCATCTTGTAATCGAATCAATGAATCTCTAAAATTCAATGAATTCAGTCGTCGAACCAAAAACGAAGGATGATATACGAAAAAGATACGTTGCTAACCTCTGTTCTGGGTAATGAAGCAAACTAAGGTTCTGTTTTTGAATTTATTTATCGTTAGCTTATCACACAGTCTCTTCTCATCTCGTTCCCTATCTAACCTGTTAAATGACCAAACAAATGACATAGAAAGCATCGCCTTATTATTTAAATTAGTCGAAAAACTGTCAACAATCTATTTTATAACTTTTCTATATGAGTTGACGTTGAGCGAAGGGAAGACAAAACGCAATGACGGACAAACCGAAAAAAGGAAACCGAGCACTTAAAAGAAAACCGTGTTTAGTCCCATAAATGATGTCAAACTAAAAAGAATAAGAAATATACGTCGAAAAATTCCATCTCGGTTTGATCTAGCAATTTTGGTCGTTTGAGTCACGTTCACTTGATGGTACATTTACCATCGAATTTATACGGTGTAGCTGTTCATTACTACGGACCAAAGATTTGTTCAATAGCGATGTGATTTACATGCATACGACCAAATCACACAGAATAAATCTATTAATTTGATACTTTTTTTTTCTATCAACTCAATTTCTAGATTCCCGACGTGTTCGCCCAAGTTACCATACACATAGATTTAACACCATAATATACATACATTTCCGGTATAGGTTATCTTCGTTAGGTCATTTAGAAAGATACATAGAAATTAAGCCTCAAAATTAACCTCATGCAATTGAAGCGTTCATTTATTAAATATCGCAATATAATTTCAGCAAAAGTAAATGGTTTATTGTGGTAGAAATATGTTTTCGACTTTAAAGTTGATGACATTATGAATATTTTAAGCAGAATTGACGAACCTTTTTGAATATGATGTTCGTTAGATTTCGATCCACATACAATGATTATTATTTCTCATGAACGGCAACTTCAGACTGGTGCAACAAACCCGTTGTTCATTTGACCACTAAAAAGATGGAAAAAAAGTTTGAAAAATTCTGCATTTCAATCAAAATTAAATGTGTCGTTGAGAATAAAAATGGGATTAACCAAAACCGCTCGTTTACATGTGAATCATTTTTGTGTTCCTGGTAAGAGATAGAAGACCAATGTCTTCTGCAATTTTTCAGAACATTTCAAGATCTTCATCTTTACTTGAGATACTTGTCTCGTATCTTATACCAGAAACACAAAAATGGTTCGCATAGAAACATGCGGTATCAGCTAATCGCATTTTTATTCTCAACGACACAAATGTATCTACCTCTTATAAAATGGTTTGAACGCAGCATTGTCTTGATATCCACTATTTTGATTATTATTTACGCTTTCGTTCCAGTGCGACACGTTGCCTGTAATGATTTTTTTATGTGTTACAAAAAAATTAAAACAAAACTGAAATTCGTGAATAATAACGGGGTCCGTACATAATGTTAAATGAGTCAGTGTAATTTTGACCTCTTCAAAAATAAAATCAGTTTTTAACAGAGCAATAAACCACAAGCGATCCTTGTGACTCCGATTTTAGTGTGTTGAAAAATACACTGTAACGCTCAGGACATCACTATCGATGCTCCACGATGTCGCCAGTGGTATATGCTTTTGCAGCAACCTGAACAAAATAGTAATTTATTGTCTCGTTTGGATGGGATCAAAATTTCGCGGGAAACTTTATTTCTTCAAGAGTTTAAAATATTTCAGAATAAAAGTGATCTAAGGTGATGTTTTCATCACTGTAGATTTGTGAATTTGGTTCTAATCTATTCAATAGTATTTTTAATCAAGGAATCGTTGGAATTATTGGAACCTCTTCAACGCATTTTTAATAGTAAGTTGGATTTGATTTGAAATCTCTTTTTTTTAAATAAAAAGCATATTTACTCTTCAGATTTGGTGGAGTTTGAGGTGGTGTTAAAGCAATTTGTCTCAATGATGTCAAATCATTTTGATTTCTAAGGGACGTCAAACTGATTTGGCTTCCAAAATCGGTTTGGGCTTCTTGAAACCCCATCGGCTGTTGTTGATGTTGTTGTGGGGTCGTCAGATTTTGAATATTTGAGTTGCTGCTGGTTGAATTGGTATTGCTGTTCTTGTTGGAATTGCTGTAATTGAAATTGGACGAGAAAATTAAATGTAAAATATCAGGAAAATTCATTTGTCTGCACCAACCTGAGCGTAGGATGCTGCATTTGATGCTGCGTATTTGTATTGTTCGTATTGTGAGGTATTGTATTGTTCGTATTGTAAGTTAGAAACCCCTGTGTATAACCCCGAGAATAAGGATTGTTGGTATAACTTCCGGCCATTGCTTGCGGATTCGAAGCCTGGTGCTGTAGAGTATTGTGCAGATGACTGGAGTTCTGAATTGAATTCGATCCGCTCGCTATTTAAAAATGACAATTTGAATTCTCATGTCAATTCTTCTGAACTTGAGAAAAGTGATTCAAATAGATGACTTTAAAATTTAAATAGATAACTTCCCATTTTTCATAAATTCACTTAGCCACATAAATTTGCATGGATGGCCACTCACGAAATAAAAATGACTCAATCTCAGCTGGATGGGAATTCATCTTGGTATATATCTATTTGAATTTTAAAGGCTGATAAAATGAAATAATTTAACGGAACCTTGTAGTGCAGTGTTGCCGATAGGGTTTGTCGGAGAGTTGCCCATTATCATCGAACTGAGATCGCCACTTTGATGCGAATGTGGATTGTGTGAACTGTGGGGATGCGTATGAGAATGATGGTATGGATTTGTCATCCAGGCGCCGTGTTGTGATTGTACTATTGGAGGTGGGGTCTTGCAAGCGGCTGTGTCTGCTAAGCTCCATATTTTCGGCTTCGATGCTGGAAGAGGGATGCCACAGTCGCTGCTTGCTTGGTTTTTTGAACCAGGTACCATTTCTTCTTTTATTCCTCCACTAGCTGTTGTTGATATGACAAAAAATGAAAAATTAACAACTTTGGAATGTTTATGAAGCTACAGGTTCATAGTGGGGAACAGTAACTCACCACTCCATGCACTCAACATTGCATGATGATGGTGATAAGGCGGATGTTGTAGATGATGTTGACCTGTCACATTGAAAAATTCTATTGTACTACTATATATTATATACATATAATATGATATATATATAAAAAATTTGACAAATATTCTGAAACTAACCTCGGTGATAGTTCGCCGATTGCATTGCACCTGGATGGTTAAGTATTTGTTCACCTTTGCGTTCGTCATCAGTGATATCGTCATCGTCCTCGTCTTTACAATGTTCGGATTTCACTCTATGCAAGTCTAAACCAAATATCGCAAAATACCATCAATATGTCAATTAATAATTAGTGTAAAAAGAAAACAGTGTTACAATTCGCTTTGGCTCCGTTTACCGGTTTCTAAAAACAGTTATCGCATTCTGAGGTAGATTCTGAAATAGTTATTGTCGTTAAAACGCTCTCTCCTTCAGATTTGATCTATAAACCCAATAAAATTATTGACCCATGATAAACTTATTTCGCAATTCGTCTCGGTGAATTAAATAAAGTCAAACGGGGACATATGAATGGGATGGTACACGCTAAGTGTCAAAAACGCGCACAACTTCATTTTAACACCCTCCTATTTGAGCCCCTCCATACAGTTTCGCACCGACATTGAAAATCGTTTTGCAACAAAGTGAAATCATAGTAAAACATAATCCCCCTTTGCAGTGAACAGCGCATATATATGGGTTCGCCATTCAAATGGATAACGGGATGGAGATACAAAAAGGGAGAGATGCGTTGGTAGTACCCTTGGTTTATTTTACCAAACACATTTCAATCATAATCAATTCAATCCATGTGTGTATTATACGACGTTGAAGAGGAAGATGAGGATAATATATGTGTGCGCGGCTATCCATTTATCCGAAGTAGGAGTATGGCATTTATGCTATAATAAAAAATTTATTTTCTGATTGACTGAATGAAAACCTAATGAATAGACTTCGACTACTGTCGATGCTCCTGCTGCTGTTATCCACGAACTCTTTGTAGTGTGTGTCTCCCTCGTGTTAACCATATCACTCTTTCTCTTTAAGTAACTAAAAAGGCCCGCGTGATCATATCCATTATCCGATTAAGTAAAGTGAATATGCCACTTGTTTGTATAATAACACGCATACAACACTTAGTTCTTTCAGTTGTGTTTTTTTCTCTTCACCACTGCGTTTGAAATCACACAATTCAGAGAAACGGGAAGTACCCTCCTGCAGCCAAACGAGCCAAATAAGAAAAGTGGCACTCGGCTATTGATGCGGGAGTGTATAATGTGCGAATTGTGAGTATTTATGTGCGGCCACACTCGTTTTTTCCGATGCCTTTCCGCGTGTCTTTTTCCCTTCTTTTGGCAACATGTGTAATGCTGACGCGGGTAAACGGCAACAGCAACGACGACGACAACAACAACAACAACAACAACAGCAACAATGACGACGGTTTCAGTTTAAATTGAATGATACGCAAAACGCTCGAAAGATACATGAAATGAAACGAATTGGATTGACGATGTGAAGAAAATCTGTACTTCCCCAAGCGTTTTAACCTCAACAATTTTCTACTCTATTTCAAACAGACGAACCCTATCATTAAATAACATTTTGAGAGCGCGCGTACGCTATTAATCGGCTCCGGCACACATGAAATATTTATATCTGTATTTTGTATACAGTTTATTTATAATGAAATTCTCACTTTGAGATAATAGCACATTATTATATTATCGATATGCATGGGTGACGGTTAAATTGTGAAAATGCAGTGATAAAGCTGAAAAACATAGAATGCTACGCAGTCAAAGTGTGCCGGGGAAAAACGAAAAGTGGGAGAGATTGAACTAATAGAGCGGTGGCTCAATAAAACAACAGCCCGACTTGAGGTTATCTGACTTTCTTTCTTGATGGGTTCGACTTTTTGTCATTTGAGCATTCAATAAGGAAAGCTGGATTCATTATTTGTTTGAAGATGAATTACTTCCCGAGAAACGTAATGTTTTGTTTTTGTTTTTCTGTCTAAGTGCTGCTCTTTGAAATGAAAAGCAGTGAAGTACAAAACTGGAACAGACTTCTATATTTCTTTATTCATCGTATGAACGGACAGCAACATCGCACAATACCGAATGCTATCTACGACTTGATATCATTATATATCCCCAAACACTATACACGACATATTGAACCAACGTGCGAATGAATTAAGGGGTATGATAAACTCTTGCTCACTTAGTGAATTGTTTTCTCATTCTATTTGGTAAACGTGGTAAACAATTTAGCTGTAAATATATCAATAGCTTTGATGTTTATTAATAAGCCATTAGGTAAATGGGTGTTTATTGATAACATTTATCAAATTGACACTCAGTTAGGCACGTGGAAAATTTTCCGAATATACATTGCCTTCGAACCTATTTCGAGAAGAATTTCATTCAAAAAAAAACAACAACAAATTTGAGGGAAATGAAAATATAAATTGAGTGCGACATCTCATTGCCATTTTTCCTGCGATTTTTCTTCCATCATGAACGATGCACTTTACTTTGCGTTTGAATAGAGCATAGATGTGCACTATTGCGGCATCATTCGGCATTCCTATGTCTGTACCATAATTTTTGCTCTTGACATACAAATAAAGCACATTTACGTGTATATGATAAAACGATTTGAAAAGCGGAAAGCAGTGTTAAAAATGGCTACATGTACAGCGCAGAGAAGGGATTTTTTTTGTTGTAGCTCGAAACAACTTTACAGTTCCATGGTATGAAAAACACAATTTTTCTTCACGTCAATACATCTACTATGTTCTCGTCACATGTGTGTCTAAATAACATTTGTCATGTGCCCATATGTATGGATTTGCACTTGTGTAAAAAAAAGAGATGGAAAATGAAACGAACGAATGGAAAACCTGCTTTTTTATTCTTATTTTTCTCGAACGAATTTGCGTTCTCGTGTCATAGACGCACACACGTACAAGTAAATCAAGTGTGATCGCACATTGAGCGCTCGTAGTTCGTATCATTGTTTCTACCTTCGCCAACTGAATTGAAGAGTGGAAACAAGTGCATTGTCATTTCACACATTTTTAACTTAACGCCTTTTAGCTTTATCAACGAAAATTGAATGATTTCGTTCATATGTGCTCCCGTGAGATATGATTGCATCTTCAATCTGCAATTTTAACAAAGGCGAGAAAAGGGAACAATAATGTATTTCGTCTTCTTTCCGTGACATGAAAAAAATTTGTTTGGCAAAACACAATAATACCGACTGAGGAGTTATCTGAGAAAACAGCTGCGCTGAAGTATTACAAGAGCATTTGAATTATTGATGCGACGCTCTGCTTTCATCGTAATATTTGAACAACTTCAACGGATAGATAACCACGAAATCGAACAAATTGTCTTTTACAAAGCGATAAATAGCCGAAAGTGAATAAATCACTTAGAAAACATATGTCAAGTTATCAATAATTATTGAAGATGACTCAAAAAATCACTTAAGGAATTCGATTACTTATAACTTTTTCGTTCGCACAGTTAATTATTCCATTGTAATGAGCTCTCTTACCTTTGTGATCACGATTTTTATCCATGTCGGAATCCTCCTTATCTTTTTCATCATCGGAAATCATTGCATCATCGTCATCCTATTGGATTGATGTCAACGAATTTTTTGATTAATTTAGATTTATAATGAACGGATATAGATTGGTTTTCTGCATTCGAGCAATTTAATTGACAAAAGGTAGTGATTGTCGTCATATAAAAAATGGCGATTTCGCACACAGAACGGACTTATGTCAAATACGAAATCGGTAGCTATCACTTGAGTTGTTAGGCGGTTTGTCATAATAAAATTGTCGAATCTGCCAATCTGTTTAGGTAAAAAGAGAGAAGGAAATACGAATATTTCGTTCTGTTGATCGAAGTAGGAGTATATCAAGTAGGAGATATTAAGTAGGAGCTAAGTAAGCTATGTTCTAAGCTATTGCCTGTTTATTCTTCGGCTCCCATGTCATCTTATTTTCTTTTTTCAATCGTCGTCTCGCGTTCGCAAACCACGTTGAAACTTGTGTTAGTGTCATTTTTGTGATGATTGCTAACATAATCTTTTCTCCTTTTGTTGGATAAGGATTCTTTTTGTGTTCATTAAGCCACGCTTTGAGTGTTGCTGTCGATTCACGAGTCGCATTTTTCCGACGTGCAGCCAAATCATACCCAGCACCATATCTGCAAGAATATTAAAATAATTTTCAATTGCTTTCATAGTTAGATTAATGCGCCAAAGCGGTAAAAAACCTTAGTTCCTACAAACGAATGAAAGATATAGAAAATAAATATGAAAAACAATACATCATCAATTTGTCAAATGATAGTAATTTAATCTGATATGTTCTATTAATATAACAATCACTGGTTCTAGGAGAATAAAGTACCAATGATTTATTTATTCACATCTAACACACATTGTCATAATGTCAAACAAAACATTGACTAAAGCGAAAATTTCATATTGTAATCAATCAAATGAGTTAAAGTCAAAGCTTAGAACAATTCAAACTTCTTCAATATTGTGACGAAAATTATGTTTACTTGTCTATGCTAATTTCTCCCATGCGGAAATTTAGCTTAAAAAATTATTTCTCTGAAACTTTCACTATGTTTTCCTGATTTTCTTGGCGAGAAACATTACCTTCAATCTATTTGAGTTCGAGACATACTAACTTCTGTTTGTTCAATTCAGTCGATTTCCTGGCAACTGGGGAATGCGCTTTATATCAGTTTATTTGTTTGTTTCAACACCATCCCAATGATATACTAAGAGTTCAAAATGTCAGTGTGAAAATGGAAAGCAACTGAACCTATACAGTGCCCATGCTATCAAAACACTACGTGTTTCTGTCGCTATTGATTCGGATGAAGCTATTGAGATGGCGTTAGCGCTCACAATAATTTGACAAGTCCAATCAACAACAATCAAATATAACAGCATTTTCATCCAAAATAAATTAAATTTTTCTGTGGAGGTTGGGCACAATTTTCCAAAGAGATTTTCCAAAAATTGTGTGTCTATATTCCGGATTAATGTTTGTGGTCTATATACAGTTTTGGTATACATTTGTAAAGTCACCGAAGACTGTCTGCTTCATACGACAAAATATATTGGTGGGAACAAAAATTTGAATTATTCGGTTTTGCAGAAAACCTCTCACACAAGTTTTCTATCCTAACTATTTTAGTTATACGGAGACCGTATGTAAGTGTTTATATCGGCTCATATCTCGGCTTATATACTTTGTTTAATACCGTATTCAACATCACGGTGCATCATTTACAAACTACTTTCCAATCTTGTCGAATCAAGCGGATGCACAAGATACAGCTGAAAGAAATGGAATATGGTTGTCTTTGTTTATATGTAACGTTTGTAATAGTTGATCACGAACTTTTATACAGCAGTTTTGTGTAAGCAAGTGTCACATGGCTCGAAAATACGAATTAATTTGGTTTTAGTGTGGAAGTTTCAAACCATAGAATTTATAATTTAGTAATGGAACGAACCGCCGTCAACCAAAATATGTATACGGTGGTATTTTAATTAAACCCAACACATGTTTTCCCTATAATACATACATACAAACATACATAGATCCATTCACTCACACTGATAAATACATATATAACGAAATATATTATGATATATGCAAATTGAGTTGGTGTATAATGTTTGAATGGCTTGAAATATTGGGGATGAGAAAATATTTTTATTCCTATCAAGAACACCACACTATCATTTATCAAGACGATCAAAAAACAAATATTTATTGAATGGATATTTTACTATTTGTAAATTCAGAACGATTCATTACATAAAACGTAGTGTTAAGACGCTGCGGTTTTCTGTATACTTTGTCGGAAATCTGAATAGTTTCAATCAAAATCAGAAAAGAGTATCTGTCATTTAAAAAAATTTCATATAATAATTATAATGATTCATGACACAAGAAATCTTAACCAGATAATAACTTATCTTTCGAAAAGAGAAAAAAATGCTGTTACACTATAATAGAATCAATTGACATTTTTAATTTTCAAATATCGTTAACCATTGCGTTTGACATGAATCTTGTTCATATTTAATCATCTGATTCCAGACATCAATGCAAAAGGAGGAACTGGGACAAGCTTCTCACCATAATGTGTTACCATTGAATATGTTCACAAATACATTGATTTCGGATGGTTTATTCAATGCAATATACAATGGAGTCGTATAAAACAATCCTCCCAATCATGTCGTCGATTTCATAATTACACGATGAAGCAAACGCATTGCACACTTGGAATCCTTTCATAGACAAAGATCGATATGCGTGTGTTCGCGTCAACGGAATTGCTTTCAAGCGGCCTTCTATTGCTTTGTGTGGTGTTTTTCTGTATTCAGTGGAAATAGAATCGGTAATCATACCAAATCGGTTAGATTGCACTCACCAAGAAAAGCTATGTGGTGAGTGTAATTGACTCAGCTTTACACACACACATATATATATATATATATAATATATAATTGTATATATATATAGACAGATACTCGCAAGTCCCGATTTAATGCACAAAGCGGTCCCCAAAATATCTATTTTAGTTTAACTACATAATTCATGCCAGTATCAGACTCCAGTTTCAGCTTTCTTGTCATATACACATTGTTCTGTACATAATTTCCAAGTTGCAGACACAAACATTCCATAAACACAACGGGAATGGGGCATACCGACTATGTACTATTATGGTAGTGTATTTACTGTGGGGTATATTTGTATATTTGGATTTTCAACAGAGTATTGAGATTGCAACGACATTTCCATGCGCATTGTATATATACGCGTCATTATATGCGATTGAAAATATTAAATTTAAGCGTTTTGCATAAAAATTTGCAACTCTTTTTATTTTTATTTTTCTCTTCTGCCGTTCAACATATGTAACCGTACAACACTCAAAGCGAACATGGGGTTGTGCACAACTGTACAGTAACAACACACTCTGCTTTTCTGAATACATAAGCAAATATGTGGAATTTGCAAATATTTCACAATGTTTATCCATGTTTTTGTGTAAAATTTACAAGCACCAAACATGGTGTAAAAGTCTCATATCACTACATTTCCATCACATATAATGGCAGCGCACTGGAAATTATGTAATGTTTATGCTAACACAGTTAACGTTAAGTATATGAACAAAAGTGTCGTGTTTTCTTTCTATTCGAGTTCACAAACTTGCATATTAGTGTATCTATGACTGATTCTACAATCTACATGCAAAAGATTTTTACTCCTGTGGATTTTTTTCCATTCAGAAATGTTTGAAAACTTTGATTATCAAAAATCAAATTCTCTGTGTGCATAACTCAAACATATCAATTTTAATATAACGAATTGGTTCCTGAGTCTATCTCTCCTCGTTGCTTACAACAAAACGGATTTAGGCGGATGCATTGGAACTTCCATGTTGAAAAGAACAGAACATAAGAGCTGCTAACCATACAATTTGGCCGTTAACCGACTAAGAATTTAACGAAAAAACATTCAAAAACTTGTGTTTGAGTTTGATTGAACCTTAAATGTGAAGTGCAAATTGAACTTTATGCGCCAATTGTCAGTACTCCTTATTCTATCTGTGAACGGAATTTTTTTAAATCTATTGTTTCAATAATGTACTTCAAGTTTTTCTCTCATATAGACACATGCTCCCTGAACTACACACTGTGGTTCAAGTGGTAGAAAGCGACAGATAATGATATGGCAACAAAATGGCGACTGTAAAATATCGATCGGCCGAACATAGTGATAGATTTATTTTCCTATATGTTCATGATTATGCATGAATGTGTGTACACACAGACACGACTTTTGGATTTTCCATCCCGGTTTGCACACATTATTCGATGCAGTTATCCAAAATGCCGTTTAAAAGCAATGCTTTTAATAGCGTATATATGTGAAGACATCATATCGCGAACATTGCTTTCCTGCACCATTATTCCATCGAAGTTTGCAATTTGGTATTACATATTAGCACATCATAAATGGACCAAAATTTAAAAACACCACCACATAAAGGCAAGCCGATGCTTATTTTTGAAACATGTGAATTAATGTTTGATACAATCTGCACATCAGTGTTTCCGGCAATTCTATTAACTATCAAGTCCTAAACCTTTTTTTGGCGATTTAGGGACTTTTTATTCATCAAATATTGTTATTAGTGCATAAACAACTGTACTTGTTAACAAAAATTATTTGTTGAAAAATGAAGCCAAAGATCTCATCACCAAGGTAAAGAAATTGATATTGTTGGCTCAACCACAATATTAAATTGATTCAGTAATTATATCACAAAAATACAAACGCTTATAAATACATTCCAGTCCCAATTGGAAAACAAGCAACTCGTTCAAATCTCATTTGAATCGTACAGAAAATTTGCTCTATTCTTATGAGAATAATATTTAACGAAAGATTTAATTAAAATTATTTATTTTTATAAGTTGGCAACAAGAAATGGTATGCAACTGTACAACATGTAAACGTTGTCTGCTCACCAGAAATGCCATACAAAATATCAACAAAAAATTAACGAAATTGAATTCCTGAGAATATTCATTGAACTTTATTACGTCTTTCTGAAATACGGTTCTTGAAAAAGTTGGTACGCAAAAACGGTACATCAAAATAAATTTTTCGGGGTTTTAAGCCGTGATTACAACAACACTTATCCCGTTTTTTCGTACAATTTTTTCTCATCCGTTCAATTAGAAACTGGAACTTATAAATTTTTAACGAATATTGTATATATGTATTGTAAACGAATATCGTTAGTAATTCCGAAAAGACTAGGAGTTTCTACGAAAACTTGGAAGAAATGAAGATAATATTTCAAATACCAAAAAAAACCTTCAAAATCACAATATTTGTTGAGTCGAATAACTTCATGAGTGTTCACAATGAAATTTAATCTAGATTTTCATTCCATCACACACACACATCGAAAGAACTTTGGAATGAACATTTCAATGTTACCTTAATGGGGAATTTTTGGACTATTAGACTTGTTTAACGTTATTGCTCATGTAGAAAATCTGCGTTAAAATAACAGTTTTTCCTCCTCATCATGGAAAACAAATGTGAAATTCATCAACTCGACCATTTAACTTCATATATTTCGCA